TATTGCTGCGTGTCAGCACTGCTAATGCTATCTGTTACTTGCTTAGCAATTAAATGTGTCCTCATATCATTTAAATGTTAGTGTTTTTTTTGTTTTTTTTTTATCATTTTAAACAAATCAAGTGGATAGCCGCTGTCTGTAATTTTCTGGAAATGTAGAAAAGTACAGCCTTGTGAAACATTACCTTTTTTTATTAGATTTAGAGGGAATGTTTGTATTTCACTGGGAATATGAGATAAAGTAAGGTCTTGTTGTAACAAATTAATTGCATGTAATATACCTTTCAATAATAAAGCTTAATGTCATACCAGTGACTTGCAAAAAGTATAGGCACTCAGTATAGGCACCCATTGAACTTTTACACAAATTTGCCACCAAACAAACATTGTTTTTTTTTAATCTAAAGTCTAACAAAAAATAGAACATAATTGTGAAGTAGAAAGAAAGGGAAACATAATTTTCAAATCTCTTTATTTGTAAAAAAGTTAAAATTGTGGTTTCTAATTGTATTCAGTCCAGGAGTTAATACTTTGTAAACCCACTCTCACAGCAACTACGAGTGTTTTAGTGTTTGGCTCTACCATATTACTTGGCATATTAGATAGAGAATATATGTGAACAAAAACAAAAAAAAATCTGAATTGAAGTTTTGTCTACTCTTTTACCATCCCACTAAATCACATGGATTTGAAAATTGGATTATATATATATATATATATATATATATATATATATATATAGTTTTTATCTCTATAACTATTCACCTGAAAATACAAAAAAAAATAAAAATATTACTTTGTCCCGGACTTGTCTTAATTAGAGTTGAAGTGTAGAATCTAAATTTGTTTTTCTTGTTACTTTCCCAGGTGTTTATCATTATTTTCAAATACTGCCGTATGAATGTTTGTACTAAATACTTACCTGTTCTCCTCCTATGCCCAGGAGGCTCCTCCTGTAGAAGTGGATGCCTTGCCAGCTGGATGCAGCCTTCATGTTCCCATGGACGTTGAGTTTGCAGCTTCCTGTTTCCCTCGTATTCCCCCACCTTAGATAAACTCTGCATAGAGCGACCGAACTGGCTTAATGATATGTGTTGTTCAAAATTGGGACTTATTTTCTGATAGATGTTTCCTTTTTTCTATCGTACCTCTTTTTTATTCTGCTCTCTCTAATCAGTGATTCTGTAAAATAAAGAGAACTCATTTGAGTGAGAAATGAGGAGGTACTGACTGACTTTAACCCATTTTAATGATATACTGGATGATATATACATAATACATTAAGTTTATGTTTAATCTATTGTCGTGCTGCTATAAAGCCAACATAACTAATTATATTTTTTTCTAAAAAATATTGCTGTACAGTTACTATATGCAGTATTTAACTTTCCCATTCTTGATTTAAATTTGTTTTGTAATAATTTTTTGAAGTGATTTGTAACTCTAATTTTAACAATCAGCTACTACCCAGAATGTGACAGAAGGTGAAATAAAAGTTGAACAGAGGTACTCTGTGTAAATGTGATGTAACTATACATATATATATATATATATATATATATATATATATACTTTTCTTTTTTTCTAATAAAAAATGTATTTGATGTCTTATTCCGACATGTTGTGAATGCTTTGTTGGTTTAAATGTTAAACAGTGTATCTTTATCAATACTGAACAATCAATATTTAAGCTTAAATTAATACATCACAGGGAATGAGAATACAGTTTTATAATTACACCACAAAAACAAAATGCTCATCTGCCTCAGAGATCAATCAAGTTCTGAAGAGAAATTTCAGAATTTCAACAGCAGAGATGGCAGAAGAATTAGACATATCACTAGAAAGGTTCTGTTGAAATAATGAAGTCATTAACAAAATTTTAATAAGATTAGCCATCCAGGCAGTTTTTGGAATCAGGTGAGGGGATATTTAGATCAAAAACACAACTAGGTGATAAAAGGAGTGGTTTCAGCATAAGAATAATGAAGGGTTTTTAATGTAATGCAAAACAATCCAGTTAAAACAGGGGCACCATAATAAATGTATTATTTATTGATAATAATTTGGAAGGAAGCTGGGGACATGCACTGAATACATGCAAAAAGCATCTGAAGACAGAAAGCCAAAATGATTATTGAAATCTGTCAGTATTTAAGAAGCCATCATGCTCCAGACCAGTGCAAGTTAATGACTCAGTTAATATAATAATGAGTTAAAGTACCTTTGCAACCTTATTGTAGTTAATCACATTGATATATGAGCTTAAGATGTTTTTCTAAGCTTATGAAATGAATTTCAGTGAAGACTACATCTGTTAAATGCCCACCTATTTAGTTTGACTTTACCTATGATTTTATACCATATTTTCTATTTTTTATTATCTTTTTCATGTTCTTGTATTTTTCTTTAATGCCTTTTTAACTTGTTCTTTATATATTTTATTTTTTATGTCCTGTGATTTATTATGCATACATTATGTTGTCTATTGCATATTTGACCATGTCTGTGAAATAGGCTTTTAATTAATGTTTGGAGCCGAAATACAGAAATGAAAGAACATCATTGCTGCTGCCAAGTGGCCCTTTCTGACAGAGGAGTGGAAAAACTTTCTCAGCAGAATTATCCAATAATTATGCAGGGAGCTTCAGAAAGACATGGAGTTAGCAGATAAGATTCTCCATTAAAATAAAAAGTAATGCGCTCTGCTCCAATGGCCTCCATGCCCACTCACTGCGCAAGACTCCACAGATGAAGAAAATGCATGTGGAAACCTGTTTAAATGAATGAAGCCGGTGTACAAGATACATATATCAAAATTCAGACGAGATCAAAATACAACTTTCTGCACGTTATACCACACACTATGTTTGGAGGCAAAACGGTTGTTCACAATATCCCCCAAAATGCCAACTGTGAGGTTTGGAGGAAACATTGTGGTGCGTTGTCGTTTCTCAGCATACGTGACTGGCAGACTTCATGCAATGAAGGAAGCCTGAATGGAGAAAGCAGTGGCACATTCTTGTTAAGACACTAAATATGAAGTCAGAGCAGGTTTTCCATCAAGAAAATCATCCCAAAGACACCACCATGGAAAATCTGTATGAAGTCACAGAAAAGACAGTTACCAGGAAGGCTCAGCTAATAGTGTGCCCTAAATTTGCCTTCCTGAAGACAGATTCTGTAGAGCAGGTCAAAAACACACCTGAGTAACATGTGACTAGTTTCTCCATAAACAGGATGTCTGAAGTTACTACAAAGAGATGTTTCTGCTGCGTACAAAATAATTTTTGGTAAGTTAGCTAAAAGCTTATTTTATTTTCAGTTTAACTTATGGTACAGTAAATTAATTTTGGAACTAAATGGCTTAGTTTATTTACAGTGTGGAATATTTGTTGTGTTGCAATCATCTGAATTATATACCAGTAGTCTCCAAAGTACACTGATGTGTCCAGTACTTATTTTCACAGGTGTATGTCAATTGTGTCATTAAAGTGTATAAAAAGGGTAAATGAGAAGTCTTTGGTATAACAGCAAACTAGACAGAACAAAGATTCAGGTTCATATTTAGTGAGTAAAACTTATGTGACACAAATATATTACACCCCTAAAATACTCTTCAATGAGCACACCTGCATAGACATTTAAAAAGATTAGGAAAATTAAAGAGTTTTTTTTTTTTCTTCTGTATTTGAAAACCAGTCATGGAAACAAAACAGAGAGCATGCTACAATAAACAAATTTATTTTGGCGTGGACACCTCACGTCATGTAACACAAAGATGGAGACCCAGCGACGCAATAAATTATCTTCAATAGTAAGAGTAACCAGTGACATACTGTACATCAAAAAAATTTAAAGAACGGGAAACAACCAAAAAAAAAAAAAAAAAAAGAGGCAAAAGCGGGATTTACAAATAAAATGCTGAGAGGGAAGCACAATCCTTAGACAGCATTGCTGATAAAAAAAAAAAAATTGAAGTGTGTGATTCCTCTTTGATTTTAGTGTCTCACGACATAATTTAAGTACTGTTATAAAGAAATAAAAAAAATAGTAAACACTGTACACAAACCAAAGAAAACACACCAAAGAAACCCTTCATTTTGATGATTTCATTTTTCATTTGGAAATCATTACTTTGCAAATTAAGCTTCATCACAGTTCTCTCCCATATGACAACATGAATGTAAACACCTGTTGAATTAGTCTTTTTTATTTTTATTTTTTACAACATTAATACTTTATATATATATTTATATATTTGTACATATTTTCATTCACATCTGCACGGTTAGCTAGCATGGTAATGAAATAAGGCAAGACTCACATAACTGTGACATCACAATTTTTTTTTTTCTTTTCCGCATTGTAACACTGATTATTAAGGGTTTAGTCATTTCCTTCCCTCTTCTACGGTGGGCTTTGGTCTTTTTGGAGGAAGGCAGGATTGTTTCGTCTCCATCTGTGGAATCATGACTTGTTTTGTTCCAAGTTTGGTAAAATATTAAAAAGAAAGAGTGTTAACTGCAGAAAAAAATGGGGGTATGCACGTAATTCTTTATGGTGACTTTATCAAGAGGGCTTATCTAACACTGTTCTTTTTGAGGTAAATAGCAAAAGATTATTCTTAGAACGATGAACAAGATGAGGGGTCAACAAGGTGGCCATGAGTGGCAAATGTCTGGAAAAAGACAGAAACATTTCACCCTTTAGTTTTTTTGTTCATCAATGACCGATCCTATCTTCCAACCATTTATTTTACCTTGTTTGTTGGGTCAAACTGCTGCTGCAGGCGTCATATGGGAGATCAGAAAATAGAGTCACTTGCCTGGCTGGCTGCGTGTCAGTTTGACTTTACAGTACCGACGACAGCTGAAGCCCAGTTTCAGTGGGAGAACACGTAGGAGGAACGTCGAGCTGTTGCTACAGAGCTGTCTGAAAGAAGGGCAGTGTTATTCGGCTTCCTTTTCTCAGCACAAATCCACCTTTTATTATTTTCAGAAGGCTTTAACTTGTAACCCTAAAGTCTTATGGTCCTGCTCGAGCAGAAATCATCATATAGTGTCAAACATGGAGTTTGTTTCAAGTGTTTTTTTTTTCTTTGTTGCCCTTCAAAATTGTTTATTTTTTCTGCAGTTCAGTTGAAGAGAACAGTCTTCTTGCAGTCCTTTTTTTATCTTTATTTGAATTTTTACAATAAAGCAATCTAAATGCTGTTTGTTTTACGCACACCGTGAGTCTCCGAGTGTTCAAGTTCATAATAAGCTCAGTATAAATAAGAGTTTCTGACACTTTAAGCTTCCCGAATTTATTATCTTCACAGACAAGCTGGAGGTTTGGGTTTGGAAAAAAAAAAAAAAAGGAACATGAGTCGATGAGTTTTTACAAACGTCCTTGCAAGTTGCCGAATGAATCAGGACTGTCCGGTTGTTAAGCTCTTTTTGCGTGCAGCATTTCAATGAGTAGGTTGTTGCAGGGCACGTCGCCATTCAGGTGTTTGTAATAAAGATACTCCTCGGCTTGCAGGCTGATGGCTCGGATCTCCGGCAGTCGAAGGAGCAGTTGGCCAAACTTGTCAGTCTGCTGAGGATAGTTGCACATCACATAGTCCAGCAGTGCTGCGTTGACCTGCTCCTGAACGCTTTCCACCAGGTGGAAGTTCTCTAAGTTCTTCACGTCTGCAGGAAGAAGGAAGAAAGATATTAGCGCAGTGCAAAAAGTATTCTGACATCTTTGGAACAACCATTATTGTTTTTACTCTGAATTTTTCATAAGAACTACTTATTAATTTGCTATAATAGATATACAAACCACACATATATAGCTCAGGTTTGCATGTATTCACATATATACGTGTGATTCAAACATTTAGGTCAGAATCAAATGACAGAACGAAGATACAATGAAGAATCTTAAAGTAAATAAAAAAAGGCTCTCAGACAAGTGCAATACAATCATTATTATTTATCTGCACACACACAGCCCCAGACATTAAGAACTACCACTGCACCAGCGGGTGTGACGGGAGGAGATAAGGCCCAAATTTGGCCAGTTCCTGAGGTGTTCTAGGAGACAGGGAACTTTAAGACCTGACGTGACAGATACACTGACACAATCAGGCAAGCCCACCCTCAAGTCTGCACACAAAAACACTCTCACACACACACACACACACACACACAGCATAAAGACACACAAAAATGGATGCAATACACTCTCTCACACTCCTCATACACACTCTATACTCCCCATGGCCAGTTACTGATAACCCAGGGGGCAACCAGCCCCCAGACCCAGGAGATGGTCCCCTTCATCCACCCAGAACTTTCAATGTCTACATACAACTTAACATTTGAAAGTGGTTCCAGAAGTGAGGCTGATTGAAAGATCACCCTCTGGATGCCAGTAACCACGCCCACGTCCAAGGCCCTAAGTATATGTGTGTCATAAGAATGTTATAGATGAGAGTGTCTAAGTTGTAGAATAAAATTTGGAATTGAGATGAAGAAACTTCATCACATCCCAGAGACACATCTGCACCCCAAACACCTGCATGTGTGATGTAACGTCCTCTCAGAGAGAGGACCTCCCCTGCTGACCTCAATAGGCACCCTGGTTCACCAAATCCACCAAGGGAGAGAGACCCTGGCACATCCACCGCAAGCTCAACAGCAGCAGTACCACCAAGCCCAACCTACCCACCCAACCCCACCATAGACGAAAAACTATACAACTCAAACATTTGGTCAAATCCCAGAGCACTTAAGACATTAGAGACCTGCTGTCCCCTGTCTGTAGAATGCTGTCTCTGAAAGAGTGGACCTGCAATGAGATGAGAAAGGCCACTTCAATAGGCCCCAACAATGTATGGAAGCCCAATGGGGCCAGGGCACAGCCATCACACATTGACCGTCCCAAAGCCCTGGCAACGTATCCGACAGGACCCCAGCCCTCTTGGCCCAGCCAGGCCCCAGCCTAATGGTGATATGCCTCCAGAAATTCAAGCCTCCCCCAGACCCAACCAGAAGCAGAACAGACCCCCTAAAAGCTGCATGCAGCCACCTGAAAGTCACCTCCCAAACAAGCCAAAGCCTGGGGATCCGCCTCCAGTGACCCCAACCCCTGGAAAGACCCAGAGGCCTCAAACTCAAACCCCTCCCTCACACCATCAACAGTGGCCTGCAGGATGAAACCAAAAACCCCCCATCCCAACCTAGTGAAGGAGCCGATCAAAGGAGTCCAGAGAGATTGATCTGATGTGGAGGCAATGGCTGTTTCAAGACAAACACGGTTTAAAAAAAAGGCTGAATCAATGAAAAAATCATAATGGCATGCATCAAGCTACAATGCCATTTTTTAATGCCTATTAACAAAATTATAGATGATACTAAAGGTTACTGTGCGATTAAAGCATTTTTATTGAAAACATATTGAGATTTGTAAGTAAATTTGCAAGCGAGCTTCTTTGTGGTCCAAGTGTGCACCTACCCTCCCATCCTCCACCCCCCCCCCCCAAAAAAAAAAAACAATCTAAAAAGTAACTCCCCGGATTTCAAAGAATCAATTCGGTCACGCTAGCCCACAAAAACATAAGGTGAAGGGGTGAAGTGGTTCGTGTAACACTGTCTTTAATGTTAAGCGGCATAAAGATAAATCTGCCACTATTACTGACACATAAGGGTTAGACAACATGAAAATCTGACTCCGTTATTGTGGCTCATAAGTTGCATGATGAAACCCCCTTCCTTCTCTTTTCTGTTTTCCTCTGAAGAGCCTCTTGGGAAGACAATGCAGAAGGAATCAGGTGAAAGCAAGAATGTTCTTCTGAGAGATGACTTCCCTGGGGACAATAAATTATATAGGGCAGAGAGGTGTAGTCAGGCCACATTTGCTTCATAAACATAAACATCTTTTCGCCATCTTAAAGAGGCGGAAAGCTGTCATATTATTATGAAGAAGTAGATTAAAGTTTTTAGAAGATCAGTATGGGGAACGTTAACGTCATGCTGGAATTCACTTTGTTACAAAGTCTACTTTTACCATTAATTGCTTGTGCAAAATACATTGTGTGTCTTTTCTTAATCCCCACCTTTCTGCGCAGCCATAAGCACTTTTTTTCCTAACAATAATAAGCTCACTGGGGGGTTGAGGAGATTATTGCAAGACAAGACAAAAATTTGCTAAATGGATAATGGCAAACCTGAGCACTTTGTGTGCTTGTCATGATTATGAAGCGCAGGACTGCAGAATATTTAAACGGTTCTGAGAGCTGTGCGTGTGTGTCTGATTTTTTATTAATTTGTATGATCACAGTGGGCTACTGTGAAGTGACACTTTGCACTTCTGCATCAAATCACACACTAAGTGAGCAGAGCTTTAAAACATTTTATTTTATTTTTTTTTTAATTGACACAGTAATCTGTGGGGATACATATATTATTACTTTTTGTTCCACACAGTACCCACCTCCAACAAACAAATCCGCTCTCGTGTCTCTCACACACACATCCTACCCTTAAACACACACACGCACGCACACACATCGTCTCCACCCACCAAGAGCATTAGGAGGAAGGAGGGGGAGATAAATCAGCAACTAATGAGGTCTAGAGAATGAGAAGCAGGTCCTTCAAGGCACTTCCATCTATGATGCAGTCTACCATGCTATTACAATCTGTATGCATGTGTGTGTCTGTATGCTGTTGTGTGACTTGTGTATGTGTGAGCTTCAGCTTGCTCTGACCTCTGGGTGACATGACAGGGGGTTAAATAAGGCTAAGAGGAGGGCAGGAATAGAGGGGGGTTAGAGGGTCTGTGACAAAGGAGCCTCCAAACAAACATGACATGTGCTTTTTCCTGCTGCCACTCAGCTGTCTGACCTCCTATCAGGATCCTGAATCAGCTCTCACACCACCAACACCTCAGAGAAGTGGTAACATAGCCTTACATAAGCGAACCTAGCACAGGGCGCTCTAAGCGTTCAATCACAAACGTCCTACGCAGGTCAAAGCGAGAGGGTGGAGGGAAAGGTTGCTGTTATTATGCAGGAAAACCACGGATGAAAAAGTTTCTGAGATGTTATAGAACTGAGTTAACTTGAAAAATGTGAATAATCTGAATTGTGTTCCGTTTAATTATGTCCTTTGATATGATTGTTATTTTTTTAATGTCTGTCTGTTTTAATCCTATCATATTTGAAGTTTTTATCACGTTTGCATGAGAGCTTTTTCTGTTCCAACTTCTTCAGACCATCTGAAGCAGAGCTGAAAACTATAATATCTGTTGGTGTATTGAGATTTCAAATTTCAAAAGAAATTTTCAAGAATGGGAAAAGGCACGAGTTGGTCACTAAAATCAAGGACTTAAAAGCGTATTATTTCTAAGCCAAAACAATTTTCTGTCAGATTGTGCCTACAGTTCCTAATGAGATACAAGGAAAAGTTAGATTAATTAAAAATTATTAGAAGTGTTATGTATTATTATTATTATTATTATTATTATTATTATTATTATTATTAGCACCGATAATATTTGTTGCTTTGCTCTTGAAAAAAAAATTAATTTTGCCTAAATATCAAGAAAACAGTTGTTTTTTTTTTGTTTATTTTTTTCAAGGTTATCATAAGTAAAAAATACCATATTGGCTCATGCCACAGCAGAAATAAAATTAGTTAAATAAGATTAAAAAAATGTAGTCAAACTGATTAAACATACATTTACATTATATGCAAATTTTGAAAAAAACAAATTGCACTCACTTGTGATTGTCATTATATGCAAATTTTGAAAAAAACAAATTGCACTCACTTGTGATTGTTGAGGTGGAAGCACTGCAAAATAAAATTACTGAATGTTTTAGTTTATATTTTAATTGCTAATTGTTACCAGAGACTCTTTTGAAAAACTAATGAATCGGTGCTTGCACAAAAAAGGGAACACAAACAATACTAAAATGATGTTACCAATTGCAGAAGAACACTTCAAATAATTTTCTCAGTTCCAAAATAAATTAAAAACTCACAGGCATTTTTGCTGATGAAGTGAGAAATGATAAACAAAAGCAAATATATAAAAAAGAAAACAAACAAACAAACAAACAAAAAAGCCTTATCAATCTTTCCCAGACAGTACCAGGATGGACTATTAAATGCATTAAGCACTCTCTTCTCTGCCTTCAGTGCCTCGTTTCCCCCTCCTTTTCCTCTCCATCTCATCATTCAGTCACTGAGGGACTAATTATCAACTTTTTTTTTTTTTTTTTTACATAAAACAGCCACAGTTCGTCTGAGTGCCGTGTCCGAATACTCAAATGGAAACCCCGAGGTACCATGGAATACATTGTTTTCACTTGACGGCTGATCATGCCGAAGCCACTGCACACACACACACACACACACACACACACACACACACACACACACACACGCACACACACATACATGCACGCATGCGTGCCTACATACCACACACTCTTTCACAGAACCTCTTAAATCTCTGCTGTGCTTTTTAATTAGACTCAATCTGCTCTGTGCTGTACATGTATGGCTCTGCATGTTCTCTCACACACTTACAAGACCCTTACAATCAATCTGCTCCAGGGACACACACACACACACACAAAACACGCAAACAAAAGTAAAGCATATCGTGCAGACACTCGGTGCAAGACGCCTTTTCC